AGGACCACCCAACCCACATGTCATGACAGCTTTACTATTATATGTTTTTTTCTTCTTTGCTAAAATAATTACCTGCCTTGTATTCAATTAATGTGGTGAGAAAATGACACGCGTATTGGCAGATGCCGCGGGCGGTTTTCGCCTATTATTATCATTACGATGGATGTTTAGGATTATATTGTAACTAGATGTGGCAATGAACGAATTTTAAATAACTATTCGATTTTTGTACATCAAATTTATGATTTATAAATTTAAAAAATGCACGAACATCACAATTTGTCATTATTCTAGTGTTTATCAATAAGCAGCTATGATAAAACTAATATTATATTTTATTTTCTATAAATATATAACTACCGTAATATTATTTATTTGTAAAACATTGGATACCTATTGTATTTATAAATTTTTATAATAAAAATAATATCGCCAAAATATTCACATTTGGCTTAAATTACGTAACTAGAACATAGCCTCTTCCATTAAGCATACATCCGTGGTCAAACCACCTGGCGTGGTGCCATTGAACTTTACAAGTCGGTTAGTGTAGTTACGTCTGACGACATATTAGCCGAAACCTCGCGGTGAGGTGCGCCAGTACAAAATGGAAACTTACAATTTTGTACTGAAAATATCGATTACTTCAACACTATAAATTGTAACTACTTAATACTTAAATTAAACTGAAGTATAGACATTAAGTAGTTAGAGAATATAAATAATTAACGTTTAATCTCGTTTAATTGGTTTTATATTAGGCTTGCCTGGCAAGAGCTGGATGAGAGTGGCCGAGGATCGTGCTCAGTGGCGTGCCATTGGAGAGGCCTATGTCCATCAGTGGACTAGTATAGGCTGATGATGATGATGATATTAGACTTCCCATACACATTATCGCGATGTTTTTAAAGCATTGATAAGAGTACCAACACAAAATCTTTAAAATTATCGAGCTTAGACAACCATCCTGAACATATTATCGTTGGTTTCTGAGATCAAAACCTCTGAAACATATCCCTGTTATTATCTTTGACAGACCAGAGATAATAATATGTTTTAAACGTAGATATTTATATTTTTGGGAGGTACAAACATCTCATATATGTTTCTAATTGATAAGAGTATTTAACCCCCTAAATTATAACTAAGTTAAGTAATATAGCGTGTCCAATAATTATGTATTCCGGCGGATATAAAAAATGTATATTTAATTAGATATAGTTTTGTAATCGTAACGGATATCGCGTAAGTATTGACGGCTCTCGTCTGGTCGGTATCATGCAACATGCGCACAGGTGACGCTCCCAACTTGATACGAAACGCGTTTTATGACTCATCCGTCTACATTACGATGAAAGTATGCGAGTTTTGATTTCGACTTGTTGCTATGTGGATATATCGTCCAAATACAAATTTGTCGAGAGTACCATGAAGTATTTATTTTATATGGGAACTGTGGAAACATTTTTAATATTTATTAAAGATTCCGTGTCTAAGTATTAGGAAATTGCTGCAACATTTTTCATTTTATCAATTTAAATAACAAGCAAATGTACAAAGGAATTTTTATTGCTACTTATATTTTCTTCGCTTTTACACTTTTCACTTCGCTTTGATTGCTTTGCGATTTTTAGTTATAAGGTGTTTTTGATTTTCTATTTTTGTCTCGTTAATTTTATTGCTTTAAGATTGCGATTTGCTTATAACTTTATATCCAAGTTTTATTTATTGTTTCAAATATAAGTCACTGTAATGTAATTTAAAAGGTCACGAGGTATCTTAAGACATTTCTATGAATTTATCTACTCCAAAAAACTAAATGACTTATTTTCGAACTGTACCGTTGTAATATAATATGGGTTAGGATTTAAATGTGACTGGAATAAAAAAATATATAACTCTCACCGGGTAAAATAATTAATAATTTTATTAACTTCAAGGAAATAATATTGAATATCATAGTTCTAGAGTCTAAATGATAAAGGGGTCATCTCTATCTGACTAATAGTATCCGAAGAAATTCACATTCTTGGCAAATTTCTCCGCATGCGTCGCGGACATAGCCGTGACTCACAAACAACGCGCTTTCTTTTTGCTTTTCTGCAATTCATCAAGCGCTCTTGCAAATATTTTTATTGTCCACATTCCGCTTCCTGTAAAGTTGCCTTTTTAACACCTCATTTGAATAACAAACATAATTATTTACACAAAGAAGCTATAAAAATATTTTTTGGGCTTAAAAATTAATACTTCTATAATGTATATAATACACCTATAAAGTTGTTCGTGCATTGCATAGGTTCTTTTAGCCACATTAAATAGAAGTCCATATTTAAAAAAAACATTTAGTCCTTTCAATATTACAACACAATATGCAAAAAGAGCACAAAATAATTATACAGAAATAACATTAATAAGAAACAGGAAATATTTATAAAGAGTGTTGCAATGCTGACCGGATAAGGTTGCACTAAGCTTTGTATACTGGGTGTTCCTTTCTGGACCACTCAGCGCTGATCTCCCGTGAAAACCCATAGGATTATCCGCACGCCAGTTACAGTGTTGGATAGCCAAACATAAACGGTAAATCTTAAAACGAAATCTTAATATGTTCAGATAGTTTGCGGACCCCTATGAGTTGTGTTTGTCTAACCGCTTTCGTACCCAGAACATACAATTTCGGTGACAAGTGAAACTATTTAGAAACTGAACTCAATATAAGATATCTTCCTGCCACCGTGTCAGGTAATAACAGGCCATGATAGAAACACAGCTGTGCTGATTACTGTATATTTTCTATACAAGTGCGTCATTACTGTAATAGCGTGTGGCACGCGCCTACGGATTCGTTAGAGCTGCTAAGCTAAATACACATATTAGATCTGCTTACTTTCTTGTGTACAATGTAATTTGTAATTTGCACGGGTTGTATGACGTAGACAATTTTTTATTGTTACTATTATCTAGTGTTCTAGATAATATAATACAACGCTAAAATGTTAATTTATATAGTTAGTATGTCATAGAAAATTTGAAAATCACGAGTTGATAAAATAAAAAAGATGAGCGTTAAATTTCCTGAAATGTCATAGTAAAATTGTACGGATATATGTCTGACAAATGACACGCAATACCTTTAGAATACAAAAAGTATTATAAAAATCGGATAAGGGGCGGAGTAATCGGCAAAGAAAAATAAAATAAAAAATAATACAGACGAATTAAGAACATCCTCCTTTTTGAAGTCGCTTAAAAATTATATGAATTTTGGGACAATATATAAACTTAAAGTTTCTATTGATTGCAACATAACAAGTTCGATTATTTAAATTTTAAGCCATTGTTTTTTAAATTACGATCGATTTTGAATTTGGAATTGGTTGTCTATGACTACGAACAACAAAAGGAAACAATTAACAATAATTCAATGTTTAATTGTTTTACGTCACATTAAAAACTACGATGAGTTATATATTCGCTTAATTCATGAATATTTGATTGTGTTCTAAATAATTAACACTACATGAAAGTATATGGAATCGATTAGAAATCGTTTTTAATAACGATTTCTCGATGTAAAGTAGCATCTCGCTGGGAACACGCGATTACAAATGCACTGGTCACATAAATCTTCGTATGTAAAATAAAAAAGACATTGTGAAATATTCAAATTATTCTATAGCGTGGTTTGGTTATGTGGAGAGACGTTCATAAAAAGAGATGGCTGATAGAGATGTATGGAGGTGTAGTACACACTGTACCGTAGAGCGTCGGTGGCTCAGGGGTCAAGCACTTGACGTGCAATCTGCAGGTCCTGGGTTCAAATCCCGCCATGTACCAATGTGTTTTTCGATTTCCGATTTACACATGTTCGTTCATCCGATGTTCTTACGAGAAGCAACCTGCACATGTCTGAGAAGAAATTCAAAAGATATGTGTGAAGTCAAGCAACCCGTACTTGACCAGCGTGGTTGACTATGGCCTAATCACCCTTAACTTAGGGTAGGCTCCGAGTCCCTCAGTGGTGACGTATACTGAGCTGATTATGATGACACACTGTTCCGTAGGGATAAGGACAGATTGATGATGATTCAACATCTCAATAGAATAAAAATAAAAACAGATGCTTATAACATTATCAAAAGTAATCGTGTATTATATGCCATATAACAACTTACTTGGATATATGTCAAAGCGGAAATGAACATTTCAATTTATTAATTCCATTTTGTACACCATTTACCTTCTTTCTTCATTCAATATAAGATTATTAAAACCGATAACTTTCGCTTTAAAGTGTCCGTATCCGAATGCACCATATTTGTACTCGTCGTTTTGTGAATTCTTTGCCTGGGCGTGGGAACGAAACGCGTTCGACGTTCTTGGAACCTTCGCTCGCAATCCATCATAATGTTTTGTGCTCATATATGTTATGTTAATGCTTGTTTCTAATCACTTCTTAGACAATACGACTCCATTTAAAGATGATCCCGTTAATATAAGGCGATTATTTCTGTGTACATCTATTGAATCATATTACAATTGGAAGCCTACATTATGTAAATAATAGCTGTCGCATGCGACTCCGTCCGCGGGTAATTAAAAAAAAAACTTTATAAACTTATATCTGCTACTCCAGACTGGTTTACATTCATGCCAAATCATCGTCATCCTTTGAGCCGTTCTAGAGATACCTTCTTACTAACATCATTTCATCCATTTAAATCTACGCATTTATAATATTAGTAAGATTTATTTCACACTACAGTTATTTCGGCGATTATTTGATATTTTTGTAAAAACGAACGGCGCTATGCCGTCCTTTCATTCTCTAGCGTTATAGTTGTTAAAATTCACACTACATTAAAACTATAAACATATGATGTTAACTAACTGAAACAGTCCTTGGTCGCTAATCTCTGACTGAACTTTCAGTTCAAACTAATATAAATAAGAAAATATAAGACATTGAAAGTAAAACGGTGCTTATTATTTTACAGACGAGAGTTCGCGCAGGTGAGCTATGGCCGATGGAGAGGCCGGAAGGCATGCCGGTCATACAATCGCTTGAGGTAATGTGCGGCAAGGATCACATGGACGTGCACCTCACATTCTCACATCCCTTCGAGGGCATCGTCTCATCGAAAGGTAATTTCAAATAATTTTCAACGCTTTCGTGCGATAAAATTACATACACGCAACATACAATTTAACACGTTTATGATTATACTTAAGAATAATAATAGAAATATTGATGGATGTTTTGTTGGAAATAAGTATAAACATCATGTTTACAAATACCTATAAGTTAAAAAGATAGTGTCGGTGGATCAGTAGTTAAGCATTTGACTTGTAATCTGCAGGGTTCGAATCTCAATATGTATGAATGAGTTTTGTAAATTAAGATTTACATATATGTTTAACCGATGATCTTAAAGAAAAAAAAACATCTTGATGCAATCTGCGAAGAAATTCAAAGATATGTGTGAAGCCAACCAACCCGCATTGGACCAGTGTGGCTGGCTATGGGTTAGCCATTCCTAACTTAGGGTAGGCTCCAAGCCCTTCAGCAGGGTCGTATAGTAAGCTTATGATTAAATATAATTAGATCCTAAAGTCCTCGCATACATGGGTTGTTAATGTTTTTAACACAAAAATTTTGATGACAATTATTTTATGATCATTAGAAGACTGTTACTACTCTATGTATATCTTGGAGCTGGTGATTGATCTATAATAGGATGAAAACACATCGATTTAACACTGTTACAGTCCGCATTGAACACATATGAGCGGCAAGTATTCAGAGCGCTACTAATTGTTACTTGTAATTGCTCGGGTTTCACTAACATACGCGTTATCAATTCTGTGTGCGTTCTAGATGAGATATAACCGTTTCAAACAGTACACATCCCGATTATTTAGTTTTCTATTTGATGTATAATTAGCACTTTTTGTGTTTTTAACCGAAACACAAGTCGAAATTACGGTCAAATATAACGTTTCTTTGTTATTATGAATACGTATACGATTAAATTGGTTGTTTTAGTAATACGTATGTGGGCAATAGGATAGAAATTACTTAGGATGCAACAAATAACTTTATTTCCATTTAAGATGTCGTTATACTAATTTAAAATATAAACTTGGGTGAGATCTTACATAGATGCATAGCAACTCAACATGTCAAAGAGTATTGTAAAATATTTAGTACCTAATCTCAATTTCTATATGTAGCACTTACTCTATGTTAAGGTAAGGTCAGGCAAAGCCTTTCGGTGAGAACATATTATACAATGAATTCACAAATTTGCATTTAACACCTTATTTACACATCAAGAGGTCAGAAAAGTGACAAATGAATTGTTAACCTTTCTTCAAAAAGAAAAAATAAGTAGATAAGAAAAAAAGTGAAATCGGGGAAGAATAAGCGTGATAAGATTCCTTACAATTATCTTATCAGAGGAAATGCATACCTTTATTTATTCCTATCTTTTATTCATATGTTTATGTACACTGCCGGACAAAAGTTTGAGACCACCATGAAAAAATTACGATATTGAATAAAACTCCAAAAGTTAGTGCTCTACAAATTATTTATTTACCTTTTTAAATAGGGAACTTGCCCATTTATGGCATAGTCATTGTGTAAAAGATAAGAAAAATAGTGTTTAGACATTCAAAATGATTAGTAGATTATGTTATCATACGCAGATTTAAAATATTTTGCAAATTATAACCTGTGAACAAAGTGGTTTCAAACTTTTGTCCGACAGTGTACATGTCTACCGGTAATGAAAGTCCATTGTAATAATGAAATTCCGATGAAAGATTAAGGAGCATTTTACTTTTTTAAGTCTGAATTATGTCGCAATAAATTATTATAACGTTTCAATAACATTTTATCATGTATCCTTAAAAGAACATAAGAAAGAAGCAATTGGCAAGACAATGGGTAAGCCCATCAATCCCTACTCGAAAAGGATTTCGTGTTTTTTATTCATTTTCAATAAGGCTTTGTAACGAATATTTGATGATGAAAATAATTTTTTTGGTCGTATTTCGGTGATGTTAATATATATATACCGTGTTGAACTAATTTGGTACCGAATTATGTTTAAATAATTGTACATTTCTAACACTATTGAAACTTCTTGCACTAAACAATTTTAATCTACGAAATTATTGTACAAACTATTTTAAACTATGGATTTATCGTGAAAACTATTTTAAACTATGGCTTTATCGTGCAAACTATTTTAAACTATGGAATCATTTTACAAACTGTTTTAAACAGAAATAAATTGAATGATTTAGTTAGCGACAGCTTTTATATATATTGTTGTAAGAACAAAAACTGAAAAACTCAGATTCATTAACTAAAGGTAATCGAAGTATAACTTTGCAATATCGTTCATTTTAAGGTTTAAATGGGTGTTGACAAAAATATCCAAAAGAAGTTAAGGATTCGTAAAGTTTATTTATTTAAAATTCAGATAGATTTTTTTAATATGACAAAAAACAAAGTTTAAACAGCAAATTTCTATTAAGTTTATGTTTGTTTTTAAAAATAACTTCCATGTTGTTCTAAATCTCTTAATCTAAAGTGTTATAATTAATGTAAACAGAACTGGTCACAGGGAATTAATAAGCAGTCTGTTATCTCCACTAGAATACCGTTAATTAAATTATATTTTACTTTCTTTGGTCAGTCTATATTTCATTCTTTTTACATATATTTAAATAGAGTGGTTTTGTAGTTATTAAAAGTATGAATAAAAAAGCAATTTTAACTTTTTTAAAGCTCTGAATTAGTGTAACACTTCACTTCATCATCAGCTCACTATACGTTCCCACTGAGGGGCTCGAAGCCTAAGTTGGGGGTGACTAGGCCATAGTCAACCATGCCGGCCCAGTGCGGGTTGGTTGAGTTCACACATATCTTTGACTTTCTTTACAATGTATAAATGTACATATGTAAATCAAAATCGAAAAACATATTGGTACGTGGCGGGATTCGAACCCAAGACCCGCAGATTACAAGTCAAGTGTTGAAACCCCAAAGCCACCGACGCTCTCAAACACTACAATCTAAAAAAAAATTTTAACTTTTTAGTTCTTTGTAATTAAAAACATTGGTAAGCTACCGCGACACATTCCTTCATACTTTTAATGTCACTACAGAATTAAATCCTCTGCGTGCATAATTATGTGCTTGTACATATATGGATACTGTTTTACATATGGCGTTTTTGTCGTTAATTTTTTATTTTTATTTCAGGACAGCACGGTGATCCGCGATGTGTGTACGTGCCGCCGTCCACGGGTCAGACTTATTTCTCGTTTAGGATCGCGTACGCGAAATGTGGCACTAAACCTGGTGAGTTTTTTTACATTGAGGCCTTTTATTAATGTGTTGTCAGGTTTTCTTATAAATAAAAAGAAAATTATTAATTAAAAATAAAACAATATTATTAACACATATGGACTTATTCTATATAGATAGAAAGAAATTAAACAATAATTAATAAAACAAAAGTAAAATCTATTTTAATAGTCTTATTATTATTGTTAGCGCCATAAAACTTTTTACCATCGCAATTAGTTTTTTTTTTATTTTATTAAGTATTTGTTTTAAGGATATAAAATAATTATTTGTTCAGCTCAGTTCGTTGAACATAACGAATCAAAGCTGCGCTTCAATTTACAAATATGGGTCTCGGATGATGTGTGAAATTCATAAATACATTTGTGGTATGCTATAAGGGGCAATCAAAACGCCGTCAAATGTTCATCTTAATGGATTCACTAAAGTTGTAAATCTTATGAATATTCTAGACTTATACACTATACACTATTCTATTACAGAACTATATTTTTACATTACGCTATGAAATTTTAATTTAAATTAGCTGTATGTACAGTCGAACCTGGATAAGCGAGATACCTCTATAAGCGAGAGACATTTTCCGGTCCCGAGGGAGATACTCTGGTAGGAGAGAAACCTGTCTATAAAAGAAAAATGTCGCGGTGCCTTGGACCATCGCTTATACAGATTCTACTGTATATTTCTACTTTAATTTTTTTATCATTAAATTATTATGACTGACTATCGTATATATAAAATTCTCGTGTCACAATTTTCGTTCCCATACTCCTCCGAAACGTCTTGACCGATTCTCATGAAATTTTGTGAGCATATTGAGTAGGTCTGAGAATCGGCCAACATCTATTTTTAATCCCGCGCGGACGGAGTCGCGGGCGCCAACTAGTATTGATATAAAAATCAAATTATACATGACCCGGTGAGAGAGGCGTTTGTTATTACGTTCTATCAGATTGACTAACAACTTATAAATAAAATAGTTGGAACAAAAATAACAAAAAATATGCAGAACATTCAGTTAATACGGTAAATATTTAGTTCCGTTGTGTATTTACGAAACAACTTCGTAACAACACTTACATCGTTCAGTCCATTCTATCAGATTTATATCACACATTATCTTGTTTACTTGCTTCGTCTCAACATTTTATTTTGCCGCTGTAATAAAATTGTCTTCTCGCATAATTGTAATCGTAAAACAAGGTTAATATATTGAAGTCGTTTTTCTTACTTTTAAGGATAAACCCAGGATGTGTTCAACAAATTACTGTTGCTATATGTTTACTTTACACTTTCTTTCTGTGTATTCTCTACTCCGTCGATTAAAGGCAAGCAACGTATCTGTAATTGCGTATGTCTATTGGCAACGTTCACTTCGCTATTTCAGAGATTTTATGACATATAAAAAAACACTTGAATATAAATTATGATACATACAGACAAATTCGGTTGTATCTATTTGATAAACTGAACATTTGTGAGGAGTAATATTAGTTTTAAATTAGTAGCTCAATTTCTAATAAATTGTAAGCGAAATTTGTATTTAATTCCTGTCTAGCTATACCACACTATCTGTCGCCCGCGACTCCGACCGCGTGAGAATGAAAAAAAAAATAGTAGCCATATGTTCTGCCAGACTAAGACCTACATATATGCCAAATTGCAGCAAGCTCAATGCAGCCATACATTCAAACATTCACATTTATATTAGTAATATAACTATTTCATTACTTGAGCTATGTTGTCTATGTTGTAAAGGTCAAACGTATAAATTTATGAAAACACTTATACATAGAGACGGTGGAACGCTAAAACCTTTTAGTATTGTGTTAACGTTTGTAGCTTGTCGTTGCTTCGTGACTGATTAATCTATAGGCGAAGATAACGTCTTACATTAAACTTTGTCTCCCACGACCTCTGCACTCACTTTTATTTCTATATTTGAAATTTAAACAAGTGAAGTACGAAATAATATTATAAATCTGTATATCGAACAGAAATTTAAATAAGAGATGTTAATATTTTAATTTTAATTCAATTCTCAAAATTGTACCATATGATAAGTTAGTATTCCTATATTTTTAAATTGTATTCATATTTGTATGCTTGTTTTCTTTTTTTTATAAAATCAATAAAATGATCCTTAAAAGCTAATGTTTGTAAATAGATAATTTGTCATTTAATTGCAGCAACATCTAACAATAAATCGTATAAATCGCTTTCGGTCAACTTCTGCTGCCGGTCGGTCCCATTTCAACAAAGTAAAGTGAGTTTTTCTCGTTTGCGATTCCTAGTTATGTCCTCTATGGCTAGTGTATGTAACGGACGGAGCCCGCTCGTTCTGCGAACGTGCAGCAAGCATTGTTTCTGAGAATCGCCACCCGGCCGGACCGCATAACATAAGCGTGTAAGGCGCATTTTTCCATGATAGCCCGCCGCCGAGACGCCAACCCTGAATCCCGTACTCTGAAGCATTTCCTTCCCAAAGTGTCACGACATTTGTAACTCGTACACGACATTTGTAACTTGTTCACACGTAATTTCAATGGGACATATTTAAATGTTTCCTGACTTAATTCGAGTTTTGTAGTGTCAGGCGCTTTACTATGTCGTCCTAATGGTTCGCTGTATTGAAAAGGAGGTAATTGAAAGCTCTTAAGGGTCATTATCGCGTGCGCCGCACTGACCGGGGGACTTGTCGTCGATCCGCGTTCTTCGGACGACTTCCACTTTTTGCGCGAGTTCATCCGCGTTTAGTCCTAGTAATAATAAGGATTAAAAATAATTTTTATTTATTTAAAAGGAAAAATCACATAACATATTTACAAAAAATTCAAAACTCATTTAAAAAAAAATAATTGAAATTGTTGCTTTTATTCCAGCCATAAGAGACAAAATATATAAATATAAATTAATATTTAAGTTTTTAATTTTTTTGACATTAAAATAAGGCCACTAAGCATGTTACTACCTGCTTTAGAATATAATTATGTCTAGTATAGATACAATGCTTCTATTAATTTCCAGACTTGCACGGTCAGTTCTACGAGAACACAGTAGTGGTGCAGTACGACAAAGATCTGCTGGAAGTATGGGACGAGGCAAAGCGGCTGCGCTGTGAGTGGTTCAACGACTATGAGAAGACAGCCTCCAAGCCACCAATGGTCATCGCAGATCTCGACGTTGTACAGCTGGATTTTAGAGGTAGGACATTGCTTTTTTTTATTTCATTCATCAAATATTATGTAAGATATAATTTGTGTGTCTTTTTATTCTTTTCTTCACTGATGTATTTTCGGCCAGAGCTTTAGGCTTTCGTCTTCTTTTTAATGTCTTTTTTTCTATTTTGACTCTAAGTATTTCATATTGGTTTTTTTTATTTAATCCACTTTTATTGGAGTATTTTGTGAAAAGTTATCGATTATTTAGTTACTTACTATACTTAAAATTTACTTTGTATTATTACAATTCATATAAATATCGTGTTTGTGATAAGATTGAAATTTTCAATAACGTATTTTATGTAAATTATATATTTATGTGTTCTTAGGTGACAATGTGGACTGTTGGATGGAAATACAAGCAGGCAAAGGTCCCTGGGCGCCGCCTGTTTCTGGGATCGTCCCACTCGGATCAACTTTGACTCTCGTGGTAGCCATCAATGATTACCGAGGTATGATTTTTTTTAATTTTAATTAAAAAAAAGATATTATAAAGCATCTTAAACGATCTAATCTATGCTTAAATATTAAAAAAAATTCTATGATTTTAAAAATGTTTGTTATCATATCAAACTTTTAACTTTACTTTCGTTTTTGCTTATTACTGTTTAATAAAATTCAACGTATTCGTCCTCTTTGGTAGTATAGAAGTTCATATACTCCAGAAGATTAATGGCTATTTAAAATATTTAAAATATATAGTATATAAGTGAAGAAATTATGTGAATCTCGCGGGAAAGTGAATAAGTAACGTAGAAATAGAACCTTCATAAAATTACGTTGTCAAATATTGTTTGAAATTTTTGCCTGTCAAGATGTTCATTTGCTTTACTATCGGTACTTTGCCTTCTCCATATTTATGGTTTTTAGTTATTATAATACTTCTTTTTCCTTACGATTTTCATGACAGTAATGTTTATTTAATTTTTTTAATTTAGTAAGTTATTTTATTTCCATCTATAATAATATATTGCATTGCAGTTATATTTTTAATCTAAATTAATAACCAATTTTATTTTGAAAATCGTTTGTTTAACGAGTTTTATTGTTTTGTACAGATTTATAGTTGGGTAATTAAAATTTATACGAGTGTTGCGCGTGTTTCATAATATGCTATAAAACCTGAGCTGATGATTAACATGCACTTGTTAACGATAGAGTATAAGTTGTAACTATAAAATCACACTCAAGTATATAACAATAATACATACGTCTATAACTTGGATAAACGACTATTGTTTCGGAAATTAATATTTTTTTTAATCGAAATTGCTATATCTATTCTTTTAAAATTAATTACGCAATACTAACGATTCTTAATTACCGTAAGCTATTAGGTTAACTCTATCTCTAGTCTTAGACACCCCAAAAAGAAAATTAAGTTAAATTGCAATCACTTATTTTACAATATAATTAAGATAAATAACTTATTGTGTTACTATCATACTTAATATTATCTTTTTTTATTTATTTTGATAAAATAATAATAGCATAAAATAATTGGAAAATAAGTATATAAAGCGAAGGCTTCAGTGCATGTACTACACAATATTTGCTATAGCTGCTTAGTTTGTTTTATTATGAATTTGTAGGTATAGTTTCCATAGTCGTACGTTTTTTAAGTTATAAGGGAGAACCGTCATGTATCAGAACCGGTATTTTCTTGTATATCCACGTATAAGCCTATTCAGAATTCACGTTATTTGATTAGTATTGATGTAATATCGTATCGTTGACCGTTAGACTTGATTGACGACAAACAGAAACGCTGTGGCTGTTTAAAATTTTACGTCGTTCTGACTTTCTCAATAACCACTAGATTTTTTTTAATTTTTTGTATTGTTACTTTTGTGTTGTATTAATTAATTTGGTAATACGAAGAATAAGGTAATTAAAATAGTATTTGTGTGTCGGTTACAAATAATTAAGTGCTTATACAGGGTGTTAAGTATATTATATTCTTTAACCAATCACGCGAAATAATCATTTGAAATAAAATAAATTTTACACCACTGAACTGAACATAATTAAAGTGACAAAAAAACATAAAACATTAAGAATAGCTATTGACTTATTAAACAACAAATATATAAAATAAGCATTGAATTTGTTTACATTTTAAGTAAGATCGATTAAGTCCAACACATGTAGGTAAATTAATATTCGTTTTCGTGTCGTCACACGAGAGCCGAATATCGTGAAACCGACTCTAACAGGGTAATAATAGTGTGTAAACAGACACGTTAACGGTACGTAGAATAGTAAAAAGTAGACTGGACAAATACGTTCGAATGAGTTAGCTTAACGGGCCGCGAGTCGACAAGAGATACAGCCGGTTCACACTATGCGTTTTGTACGCGCGTTGCGAAAACGCGCGTTCGCACAAACGACAAATATGTGGTGTGTTAAAGTTACACAAGGCATTATGAATACACGTATAATGTGCGGATATTTACTAAAGCACGTGCTGAAAAGTGCTGAATAGCGCACTTTTGCTGAAAATATGTCTGATAATCCGGCTGTAACACATGTATGCATTACCGGAGTTAGCCGAACCGGAAAGTTTGGAAACGCACGCAAAATTTAAAGCGCCTCATGTGTGCTGGCTATAAAGACTACTTCTTTGTTGTATATCCAGCTGATTCAAGGTTAATATTTACAAGTATTAACAACGGTGATCAATGATTTTGGTGCTAAACAAAATTAATAAGCTTAGTGAGCTTAGTGTGGGAGTTAATCGCTTTTGAACTCGTTGAAGTCTTTTGTATCGTGTTATTTAATTACGATGTAGCGTGGAATCAAAATGTATACTTATTTGTTGTTATAAGCAAGGAAGCAAGTCTTATTTCCAAAACTTTGATGTGTTAAAAAATAAAAATGTATTATCTACAAAAAATATTTAATGAAAGGTTCAAGCATAGAACACCAAAGATTAAGTAAATGGCAGAAAAACATGAAAATAAGGCTATGAAGTATGCGGATCTTTCTTATGTATAACCTGAAAATATTTTACGTGACTACTTAGCTTACAATGTTATATTGTAGTGCGTTCAAAAGTAGAATTATGATAAAGTTTTAAACCGGTGGCATACTTCATCGACATTTTCGTACTTATATTAATTTACACTTAGAAGTAATTATGTTTTAAGATAAATGCATCATAATTGTATTTCTATTGACAATCAACAAGATTAACTGCTATATACAAGTATTATTAAGGCTACTTAAATATACCTTGACTAGACACTTAGCTGTATGAGAAGGGAAAATATTTTCTTCCTGTGCATTCTCTCCTCCGTCGATTAAAGGTAGGCAACGTATATGCAATTGCGTATGTCTATGGGCAACGTTCACTTTGCTATTTCAGCGTTTTCAGGTGGCCGCTCGCTCGTTTGCCACCTTATGTATAAAAAAACCTGTCTTATTTAGGGATCACTTAAAATCACTTGACTTAAACTTACAAAGTTCAAATACATACTAAAACCACCAACTAGCGTTTTGTCAAACATCATTTACATTATCACTGTGTCAACTTATTGAGCTTAAGAAAGCTCATATTTGTATTGAAACAGCTTTTGCTTGCATAGTTTAATGGAGTATTTACTCATTTGTTTCCACCTGAAAGCAAGTTTGGTGAGACGTAAAGCTTTCGCGGCTTCCTTGCATTGTTTAATTACTATTCTCTAAATGTTTAACCAGCTGGTATGTGTACTTATAATAAGTTTTAAGTTGTCTTTTAAAGGTTACAGAGAGAATAATATAGCATATTCCACTAAACTTTTTGATACATTAACTTCGTGGAAGATTGTCTCCTAACAAATGCTTTAGTAGGTTTGGTAAAAAATAGAGGGAATTTGTAAAACTAACATAAATAAGATGGGCTACGTAAGCCGGTTCTTATCAAAAGAAACATGGTCTTGTATTTTTGTTCATCAATGTGAATCTGTTAAAATTTTAAATTATCTGTAAAATTGTATTTCAGGTGAGTTCGATATGCGAGTGAAGTCGTGCGCCGCGTCGGATGGCTCGGGACACGTTATTCAGCTGTCTGACGAATACGGATGCGTTCTACGTCCAAAGATGATTTCCAGGTAATTATCGAAATTTAATTATTCTTTTCTTCGATAGCAGTTAAGTATAGAACAGTTATAATTTGTCTAATATCTTTGGAATAAAAGCATTTACAAAATATTGTAATAATTAATTGAAAACATATAATTCTCAGATTTCTCAAGGCCAAAGCAGCGGACGAACGAGCGACAGTCATAACTTACGCGTTCTTCCACGCGTTCAAATTCCCCGACGCGTTGAGTGTGCATATTCGCTGCAAGGTGGAGATCTGCAGACACGGCTGCCTCGACCATTGCCAGCTCGCGGGCGTCACGCCGCAGCGACACGCACTTGATAGGAAGGACGATCGTGCTCATCAGGACCATAATGAGATCAGGTAAATAATTATTAATGCCATCTATCGGCTATCAAAAATAACCTTTTTTAACCTAAAACATTAAAGCGTACTAGGCTTCAAGAATTATTTATTTTGTTATATTATATTAATTTTGAATTAAATATTGTATCAAGGAAGACATTAAATATATAAGAGGTTTTACGAGTTTACTAGTGCATGGCTTGAATTTAATACACAAAGACCTAGAAATAAAATTAAACACATTTTATTAGTGATTAACGCAGATTTGAAGTTCTACATTTCAAATATTAAATGTTAATTCTTCAATAATTGCATTTGAAATTATTTTATTCTTCAGTGACTCTTCGGCTGAGGGTTCGGACACGAGTCTAGCAGAAGAGTATCAGCGTCTCCCTCTAGAGGAAGCATTCGGTGACGAGGTGTCAGGTGACGTAGTTCCAGCCCCGGCGCCTCTGCCACAGCGAGCTCCAGCGCCCGTCGAAGATCCGGAGTCTGATCAGATATCGACTTTAGAAGAAGCATTTGAATCTTTGAACAGGAGACCATTTACTGTAAGCGAAACCAAAATGTTTTTTTTTTCATATTTCCGTTGAAAATGTATTATGAAAAATTCTGATTTAATTTGTTTTCATTTTTTAGGATCGGGCACCTGAATACGAACATTTCCCACATGGACCACGAAACCTTGCGAATAGCGATAAAGCGGGACAAAACGGAGAAACTATGACCTCGCCTAAAGGTCGCGGGCCGGCTGTCGCGGGTCCCAGATCTCTACGAAAGCGACGCACTGTTCGTGACTCAAGATCCGCAGATGTCGGCGTTTCTGGAATATACGAAGTTGTTTCCGAAGCTGATTTAGCTTTTGGACCTTCCAGAGAACCCGTCACCGTGTTCAGCGGAAGAATACGCGAAGAGGTAAATAGTTTTAGCTAAAACTAAAGATATTTAAGCATTCGAAACATATTTAAGCTTTAGTATCTTTTATCAAAGATAGCGACACTAATATTTTGTTATAAATTATAATTTTTTTCCAAAAGTACTACACTTCCAGTTTATATAGAAATAAAAATTACAATGTTTTCTCAAATGCATTTTTGTTCTAAAGCATAGTCTTATCTTTACAGGTTGTATACGGCGTGTGTATGGGTGCGTTGAGTTTCGGCGCTCTTTTCGCGTCAGCTGCTGGCGCTGCAGCAGGCGCAGCATTAGCTGCTGCTGTCATGCTGCACCGTCTGCGGTCAAGGATGGCCGCACAGCAAGTACCCGTATCACCCGCGCCTGCCTCGCAATCACTCGCCGCCTGGATGGCTCTCAGACTGCTAGGCTCTCCTCATCCACACCATTCACATGAAGGCTGATCTTATATAGGAATTGTTAACAAGACTGTCTTAGTTCTAGCATCCAATAAATGTGGGTTACGACTATAGTGACACTTGCCATCCCTCACTTTCTATTCGATAAGATAGAGACAACGATATGTTGCATTACAAGTGTCATGGCAGTTGAAACCCATGACAAACCGCATTTTATTTCGTAATAAAATAATCAATTTTTTGCACTTACTGCCACATTCAGTTGTTTAGTGGTCATTTGAATAGTAGATTTTTCATACAAAATCCTTTAATCGATTTTGCCGTATTTAGAAGTTTTTAAAAGGTCAGTGCTTATTTTGTATACTTAATATACTTTGAAATGTCTTTTTTTATATCATTAGGTTGCAAACGAGCGAGCGGTCACCTGAAATCGCTGAAATAGCGAGGTGACCGTTGCCCATAGACATACGCAATCGCATATGCGTTGCCTACCTTTAATCGACGGTGGAGAGGATGCACGGAAAGAAAATATTTTCCCTTCCCATGCATTCTCTCATCCGGAAAGTCCACTTTAACTTCCCATCCTTTCCTTCTTGATTTTTGTATAATTTATGATTCGTTGTATTTCTAAACACCTCATAAATACAGATGGTGCTAAGTCGTGCTACGGACAAAGTCCATTGTAACCTGATTTTCACTGTTGTGAATATTATACATTTTATCATAAGTTTTGTACAGATTTCATTTTTTATTTTTACAAACGCTAATTTATAATTATGTGTCTATTTAGTGGGTAAGAGTTGAGTCATGCCATTAGTGTAAGTTTAGTTAAGAACTTTCGATAAATATTTTCAAATATTTTACTTAATTTACTTGAAAAATAAAATTGTTATATATAGCTCATTTTTTTCATCAAAACATTTAATATTAACTATTGTAAATTCAGAAAAAAAAATACTTTATTAACAACTTTTTACATAGAAAAATATAGTCAAACCTTGATGAGCGAGAACTGTACTGTGTTACTGTATAATAAAGTCCCGACGGAGGACTTTCATAAGCGAGATACTCAAGTTAAAAAAAAACCTCCATAAGCGAGAAAATATCGCAGTTTGGACTCTCGCTTATCCAGGTTGGACTTATTTTAATTAGAAATTAATAGAATTTTCATTATTATAAATTGTTTTGAGAGCGTCGGTGGCTCAGGGGTCAAGCACTTGACTTGCAATCTGCAGGTCCTGGGTTCGAATCCCGCCATGTACCAATGTGTTCGATTTCCGTTTTACATACATATGTACATTTATACGACGTTCTTACGGTGAAGTAAAACACCGTGATGCAACCTGCACATATCTGAGTAGAAATTCAAAGATATGTGTGAAGTCAACCAACCTGCACTTGGCCAGCGTGGTTGACTAAGGCCTAATCACCCTTAACTTTGGGTAGGCTCCGCGCCCTTCAGTGGGGTATAGTGAGCTGATGATGATGAAATTGTTTTACTTGTAAGATAATGTAATTTTCTGTACCTAAGCCTTTATTTTGCATATGTTTTTGTATTCCGGCCCTTTATATACGTAGTTAGTATCAATTATAATAATTTAGATACAATTTTAATTAAAACACCAATGAATTATCATTTAATAATTTCAAACACAACTTCTAATGTATTTAAGTTTGCATTTACGTTGCATTTATAATTTATAGTGTTTCCTAATTTTGCTCAACATCAATTTGTATTTTGAACATAATTAGTTGCTAATATTAGTTTAATTAGAATTTAAGTTTTTCTTATAACGAAGAAATTCGGAATTGATAGGTAAATCGATGTTTTCGCCATTTTACGATTATAATTTACTTATTTTTTGATAAATTCTTTAATTTTAAATACAATTAATTAAAAGTTCATATTGCTCCGGTTAAAGTTTTAAATATTTTAAAAGACGTTAACGTCTTATTTTACTGTTTTAATTTTAATATCAAATAGTATTTTAATTTGTAAAAACTACTTTCGTTTTTTTTCGTATGTTTAAACATCGTTTTACCAGCGAATAATTATTCTTCAACCAAAATAATTATATTATGTAGTTCGTCCAAAAAGCTTGCATTTACAACTATTACGTTTTAAGTAAGGAAATGATTTTGTGAGAATATAATATTTTTAGTGCAATTTTATTTTATCAGATTTTATTTTTATAATACTCTGAATAATATTAAATTTGAATTAAGTATTTCGATGCGGTTGCGGTTTCTCTTTGATGTAATCTTCATTTCTTTTACTTTGAAGGGTTCATTTATTTATTATGAACAAACATAACGTATGTTCTTCGTATGATTGTGCGACTTGTTATTTGTTTAATGGAATAATAAAATTATGTTGAAAGTGTTTTATGAATTATTTGTTTCCCATTTTTTTTCTTTTTTTAGATTTTTCATTAAATAAATAAGGAATTTTAACTTAATCAAATTATTTACGATGTTCACGACAATATTTTTATTTTTTTTTAATTAATTTACAATTAGTTTTTTTTGGAAAGGAATTATACCATATTACTATGACGTATTCATTTATATATCATATTTTTAATATAATGCCATTAAACATTTCATATCCAAAATAAAAAAAAATATATCCAAAATATTATACTTTTTATTAAAAATAGAACACCACCGGTTGCGGAATCCCATGACTCAAACAACCAGTGGTCAAGGCTGCAGAGACAGGAACCTACCATATTATTATTTTTACTAGTTACTGTACAACTGTTCTGTCCACTTTTAAAATATGTGTGCTACCATAAAATTTTAAATTTATTTTCATTTATCATCTTACGGCAAATAATTTTAGTACAACTATAAATAAAATAACTCTTAAATTAAAATAATCCTTTTAATACGAATTAAATATTACAGATTTGTCAAAGTCACAATATTTATAAAATAACAAAAACATTTCGCACACAAACAATATTATTTTATCCAACAAATTAAGAATTCTTTTGTTCCCAGCACTAATGAATTAAGCTAATATTTTAAAATGTTTTAATAAGAAAATCTTAAGGAGGAGGTACTCAGGTGTGAAACAAGATAAAATTAAAGTAGTAATATGACTACAATAACTAAACTAAAATAAATAATATTAATACTAATGACAAGTTAACTAATTCTAGCGGTTCTCCTAAATGCTGATATACCACGTATTAGATTTTCCGTTGCCCCTATTTCAAATGCACTTCGAAAAGGGGTAACGGAAGATTGTACTTAAATTATAAACTATTGCTTGATAAATACATATTTTTCTAAATTTGTACATATGTAGATAATTTCATTAGATTTTAGACTATAGTATAATTTATTATTCAAAATATTGAATATGATAATAAACCAGTTACAACATTAATTGAAAATAATATGATATTTTTTAAAATGCTCAATTTCGCAAAACTTAAGGATATCGAAAAACAAGAGGTAGTGTAATATGAAACGTCACATTATGAAAGTCATCTACATCTAACTCACGCAGTTATTTAAGTCTTGTATTAAATAAGACATAGAAAACTACATATTACAAATAACAAAGTCCCGAAGTTTGCATTCACAGGAGCACTCCGAGGCTAGACAAAGTGCATTCGCTCAGAAGCGATTGTCATTTCGTTCGTTATGGAATCGCTTTGGAGCGAATGTATTTAGTATAACCCCTCTGATATTTAATGCAAATTAGGTATGTTCATCATACTTCAGTCTCTTTACACTAATATGTACAAATTTATTTAAAGCGATAACGTTACGAATAGAACCGACTCTTTGAGATTACGTGCGGTCCTGTAGGTGGGTGTGGTCGAGCTAACGTCGTGATCGCTGCTGTTTTCTTCTTTAGATTCGTTATAGGTCTTAATTTAAAGAATAAAATTGCAGACACTGCACATGAACAAATCAGAGTAGCAAGTAGAGTTCCAAGTGTTGCTGCAAAACCAGGAGTCGTCATACAAACTAAACCGGGCGTTGGAACAATTTTAGGTGCTGCGTTTTCTTCAGTCGAATCCATATTCAAGTCACCCGCAGACACAACACGTATGACTCTGTTTACACCAACTTCCTTTTCAGGAGATGTAGCACGACGTTGCCTTCTAACTCTACGTTCATCTCTTCTTATCTCAGCACCAACAGGATATGAGTCGATTTGTGGAGGACCGTATTCCACGTGTTGGGCTATTAAATTGTGACCTCCATCAGAACATTGCTCTGGGCATCGATATCTGCAAATCTGAATAGTACATTGGAAGTGGACTTCCATTGAATCAGGGAATTTGAATGCTTGGAAATGAGCGTAAGAAAGTACGGAGGCACTAGCTCCGAAGTTCTTTATTTTTGTGAATCTTGACATAAGTTTTGGACGTGTGACACAGCCTCGTCTATCCACTAATTGAATAGGCGCACGTTGACCATCGTGAGCTACACAATCACGTACTAACATGTCGAATTTAGCGTCATCATCTTTAATAGCAAGAACCATCGTCATCGTTTGTCCGATTTTCACTAGTCCTGATACCTCCGAAGCCCAAGGTCCTTTTCCAACTTGAATTTGCATCCAGCAACCGACATTATCACCAGCAAAGTCTGCTCGCACTACGTCAAGCATGTCAACAGGGAACGGCCTGAATGTAACAGCTTTCTCATACTGATCGTGCCAAGTACAACGCAGTTTTCTTGCCTGATCCCAAACTTCTTGGACTTGCGGATCGTACTGAATAACAATAACATTTTCGAAGTAAGTACCGGCCGCAGCAACATCTCCTCTGTACCTGGGGTCTCCGCTCCCAGCGGTTCCACAAGCGTGAGCGCCGATTTCGAAAGAAGCAGAAGCCCGTCCCAAATTAGGTGGCAGATGTACGCATTGGTGGTTCGAGTAATGTCCCTTTGAGAAAACGATGCCAAAGAAAGGTTTATCGAAACTGAGAAACACTCGCATGGCATTCTTTTCACATTTTACATCGAGTGAGACTATTTTCGGCATATCAGGTGCAGGAGCTGGCCAAACATCGCCAGCTCCACTGAATACTTTGTCACTGGCGGCAGTCTGTGAGTCAGCAGGTGGCGTTTGTTGCGGAGGCGGGCCACGGAACCCGGACCCTATATCGTTTTTCAGATGATTGACTGGCGGTCCCAGAGCAAAGGGCTTGGAGTGAATTTGGTGGTGATTTGGAATTCTCGGCATCCCTGAAATGAAAACAATAAATTGATTTTCAATTTAAGTTTACGTTATGGTAACTAACACATGAAACACATAATATTCTCAGCATTTGTGATCAAGCAATATCTACATCTGCCTGCTTCTCCAGAAATGCATTTAGTTCCATCTCCAAAAGCCTAATTCGGTCAAAACATTTTTTAATCCCTAAAGGTCTTAATAGATATTATTTTATGGGTTCTTATAATATACACAGTTTTGAGTACTACCTAATGCATGATGCGGCTGCAGATGCGGTGGGTTCTGTCTCCTGTTGTGCTGTGGCGGCACGGGCGGCGGCGGACCGTTGTACGCGTGGCTCGGTGTGTCTCGCTCCCCAGACTCCATCGCCAGTTGGTCTGTAGATGGCTCCACAGCATTGTTGGTGTCCGGATTGCTACCTCCTCCGCTGTTGTCGTTCGATGTCTGGTCGGTTAGGATTGCACTCTAAAAATTAAAGGAGAGGTTTTTGATTAAAAATGCATTGGAAAGATATGTGTTACGGTTCGGTGGAAAATTGAATATGATGCTAATATTTGTATATCTCTTGTTGCATTTGACATCTATCATCGATGGATGCAAGAATTAACTTATAAAACTAAGTACATCAATTATGACAATTTAGTTATTAAGTGTATTGTCAACGATATGTTTTATTTTATGAATATGTTCACATATTATTTAATTCGACACACTGACCGCCTTTGACCTGATGCTTCAGGTAAACCGATACATGTCAAAAACTATGTGTCAACTTTATCTGGGTCGTTTATAAAAATTAGATGGACGCCACACTGAATCTGTTTAGCTTGAAACTCGAATGGGACGACGTGAAAGTTGCTGATGATTCTGGTTTTTATTTGATTTAGATGATGACCGATTTGAGCGCTCTTGTTTTGTTAAAATTTCGTGTCTGACTGGTTTAATTTATGACAGTTAAGAAAATTAAAACGGTCTTCTTACTTGTGTTAAAGAATTTGCACAAATTTTATTGCTACAAGCTACAAATATTAGCCAAAGGATTTATAAATATTTGTTACAACGTGATCCCAGACGTGAAGCGAATCTGGGTAAAATTTGGAACAAAGACAAATACAACTCTAGAATAATGCGTAGGCTTTTTAATTTGAGACAGACAAAGTCGCAGGCAATAGCTAGTAACAACTTGAAAGGAAACCTAATAATCCAACATCAGATCAATATTGTTACTCATAGAAAATTTACTATTCACAAACATCTATAAAATGATCATAAACGAATCGTTAACAATTTTATAAAGCTTGTCCGTTTGGCCTCAAGGTAAGAAATTAGAAAGTATTGGCCTCGACTCGAGATGTGAAGACTTTTTTTTTCAATTAAGATTTATGAGTGGGCTTGAAGTACATCGACATCGACAATTATTTTAGATTAAAATCTATGCGTATCGTTCGATAGCCGCATATTACACGTTACTAGAGAAACGTAATAACTAAAGATGACGCGCGTTTATTAAAAGGGGCAACGAATTGGTGAGCGAGCGAGTAACTTTAGCGCAGGGAACTTTAATTACAACACTATTCTGTAGAGAATTTATTTAGGGATCTCTAGTCATATAGAAAAAAACAGCTTTTGCTCTGACTAGGTCTTCGTTATGCCAATCAGTCCAATGTTAATTGTTTTCCCGATACGCCGAAACAAATTCAATCAATGGGAAACACCCAACATATATAACATTTTACAATGTTAAGGAATACAAAATACCATCTCTATTTAATAGTTTGTTCGAAATATTTCAACAGCAAACATTTAAATAGCAGTAAATATACATTCAGAGATAAAAGAGAAACATTAAACAAAGATTTATATTATTAATATAATAAATATACATATTTAAATTATTCTCATTATATTAAAACATTGGAATTCATGAACAAATAAAACGAAAATAGAAATCAGCACTACGTCGATTTCGCTTAAGTTGAATTTACATAAATTTTGTATGTGTTGTTGGTTTGTCCCGTTACCAAAATTTCTAAAACAAAGATAATCCTCATACGGAAATGGCGATATAAGTATTACGAAAAAAGTAATGAGATTTAATGTGGACGGGTACAAAAGTAAAAGAAGACCAAAGAAAGTATGGATGGATTGTGTGGAAGAGAATATGTGTAAGAAGGGATTAGATTCAGATACGACGGCTGATAGAGATTTATAGAGGCATACTGTACTGACATACATACATACATACTGTGCTGACCCTCCGTAAGGATAAAGGTTTATGATGATTGCATTACGAAAAAATATGTTTTTGTGTTCCAAAAATTACTATTATTAGTAGTACATGAATTTTAAGTACTTTTGCGAATTTCGTTGATTGCAGAATTGTCTATATTTAATGTTTGGTTTTGTTATTTTATATGTAAGTACTTAATTACCTTGTAAGCTTAAATTGGTATTTACACGCGGATGACTTCAGAACACATGTAAAAACCAACCAAGGAATTTGATGCGTGTTACAACTTTCACTTTTAGCATTCTAGTAATATATTTTTTATTTTACCGGTGTCTTAGCAAAAACTATTATTTATTACTATTTTTAATAACGTCATTACATAATTTAGATGGCAATTATATATTTTACTTATCAACATACACAATTAATATGATTGTTCTTACCTACCGGATCGAAACGGATGTGGTTTACTCTGTCTTGATTTGTCACAGCCTATATTTATCAGTACACTTATTTAAGATATAAAAAAAACCTTAAAGACAAATTATTCAAGACAAAAATCTTAAGTACACGTTTTACATTTTCATTTAAACATATAATACGAAATTAATGTTTTTAAATAAATATCTCATCTCAAAATAAGAGAAAATTATTTTCAAAACCATTAAATATTTCCAAGCATACCTAATATCTTCTTAAAAGAAATTGTAACTTTTTTCACAAGCGCATATATTCGTTAAGTATGCGGTGAATTACAGACGTAAGTTGAACATTCGATTGTAAGTGACGCTACTGTGTTTACTACACTGTGACAGTGAAATGAGGCGCGCTAAAGGCGGGGAGTGGTCTCAAGTGCAGTGTGTCAGCGCGCGGTCGTTGATCTCAGCGAACTAATTTTACTTTCATTAAATCGGCGCGGATGTATCATATCAACATATCACTGCAAACCTTCTTGTTTGATTAAAAAAAAGGATTTTCTTGTAAAGTAACTTCTGAGAAACTTATATGTAAAAAGATCTGCTTATTTCTAACAGATATTAAATTCAGAATATTATTATTAATCAATTACAGAGATGCATTTTGATGCCCAATTAATACATTTAAATATTAATTATAAAGAATTTATAAGAAAAAGTTTTAAAAAAATATGAGAACTTTTAAAGAAACAACTTACTTTTTTCTTCTCATTGTGTCAAGAGTTTTATAATTCATAGCTTCCTCAGTAGAGTTAGAAGTAAGATTAATTGCGTCTGTTGATCTATTAAGTCAAAGAGCTGTTTAATCGTTGAAAATTTTGTTAATTTCTATCTACATTTTATTGAATTTCTAAAGGTGACGTCAATAAAAGTTGCAATGTGTGACAGGATTTGAGGCAGGGATGTGTGTCGCGGCGGTCAATGTACAGAGCTCGGGAAAGCGGCTTTTACTCTCCACGCACGTCTATTGTTATAAATTGCCATTATAAGAAACAATTTATGCCGCCTTGTTCTTGACCCACGTGTGGTGTGAATTATTTATTAAACATTTGTGTCGCTAAAGATTATAAATATTTTAATTTTTATTAGTTTGTCTTGTATCGTTATTCTTCCTGTATGAATGAAATATATGTCGTATTCACATTCTCTTTAAAAAAAGGGTCTTGACAGACGGACGGACAACAAAGTGATCCTATAAGGGTTCCGTTTTTTTCCTATGAGGTACGGAACCCTAAAAAGTAGAGATTACAATATGTTTTAATTCTCTGATTGTTACCAGAAATTACAACTAGAATTGGACCTCTATATCCAGGTTTGATCGATTCAAATTCGATATATACATTTGTTCACTTCTTACAGTGAAAGAGAACATCGTAATGCAATTTGCACATATCGGCAAAGAATTACAAACACATTTGTCAAGTCAACCAAACTTTACAGGGTAAAGGTTGTTGTTGCTAGTTAGTCACCCTTAACATGGGTATGACCGAGCACCTTAGAGGGGACAAAATATACGAGATAACGATAACGTCGTTTATATCTTATTTACAAGATTAAAATCCATGTGGCCAAGTAATTTCATAAAACGCATCTAGCACAACTTGAACTGAATGAAAATGGGACACTCATTTTCTTAACGAAAAAGGCGTTGAAGTTTTAAACTGGAGTTGTTTACAATGTATTGAGTTACATTGAAGCCCGAACGGGTTGAGTAGCCTTCTTACTTTCCACAGTAAAGGCTAAACGGGTAAATAGCGTACATGACGGAACTGGCCTGCTCACTACTTGCCACTCGCTACTGGGTCGACGTCACCATGTTTGGACTATCGTCGCCGTATAAGATTCTGTCTCTTTCTGTTTCCTACGGATACGCCCTGATCTATTTGTTGTGATGTGTATCAACTTTAGTACCATAAACATATATACGATACTCAAAGATGTGGCTAAGGCCTAAGGCTTAGACATCACCAACTTGTCTAGGCTTGAGTCTCGTTCGAGACATTTTTTAGCTGTCGACAGCAAATTGTGATTACTAACTAATATCTGAATAATAGAGTAGACATTAAGTTACAAACTCATAGCAAATGTAAATATATAAACCACTAGTGGTCGCCTGCGATTCCGTCCGCGCGGTATTAGAAAAAATAGTAGCTTATGTGTTTTTCTAGACGCCTTTCTATATGTATGCCAAATATCATCGAGATCCGTTAAGCTGTTCTGGAGATACTTTCAAATTATTCATCCATCAAAAAATCGCATTTATACTTAATAAGATAAGTATTAACAAATGTTCAACTAAGGTAAAAAATAACATATTAAAAGTTAACAAGACTTCAATGAATCATGATTGCATTAATTCAATGAAACATGACAAAAGTTAACGAGACTTCAAGAATTCAACACATCTTTACAAATTCATCAAGTAAATTTGTCGAATTAAGAATATAAGTAAATATTAAAAAAAGACCCACGACCCCAATCTTAAGTCAATAAAAAGTGCTAACAAACAAATGAAAGTGAAACTAACTTAAAGGAAATTAAGCATACGATAGTAATACATGTGAATCCACAATGACGAAACTTAGAAGATATCATTTGGAACATCAAATAAAAGATAAATTAAGCACGCATATGAAAGTGTTTGTATATTACACATGCTATTCATGTAACCCAATTATTGAGTATTGTAACAATGTACTTACAGATTAACTAACGATGACGAAAATTCTTGCGTAATAAGTATCGAAATATTAAAAACAAATGATTGTTTTATCAAAAGAAACAAATGACTATCAAATTAAGTTTCAAAGTCAACATCCAAGACAAAGGATATGTTTTGTTTAGGACATAATATGTCTCCAATAAATTTGTAAATAAGTAATACTCTGCTCAGCATTTTTAAGTTATAATAGACAATAGTCTATACAAAATCAAATAGAGTTTACAAGTTTGTAGTGTTAGCAAGAAAATCCGACACTGTACTGGCGCAACACTAGCCTTACTAAAATGTCGACGTTTATGTCCCCTCACTAATCACTCGCCAAAGGATTGTAATGAATAATGTCTATAAGTAGGTATACGTTTAGTGAAAATACAAGCAAAATAAGCAACTTCTAGTCGGCGCTAGTGATGCGCTATAAACGGTAAACAGTACGACGATTAAAAGTCATTAACTTTCATGTTTTGAGTACTATTCACTTTGAAAGTACAACGTCTATATTGTTTGATATTTACCGATACAATATAAATAAACATCATTGCCTATCTAACATCAACTTTACACAAAAAAACAAGAGAAAAACAATTGTGAAATATTAAAAATTATACGTAATTAAGATAGATTAAAAACAATATTTGTCAATAAATCAGGTAGCTTACCGTTTGTATTAATAGAAGAAAAGCTACGGCGTAAGCTCGTCTCTGCCGCATCGTGAACTGTGAACAAAAAAAAAATATTAAAATCTTCATTCAAATTATAATGTAAATGAATTTAAGACAACTTTATTATGTAATATTTTTAATACTACAAATAAATTAAAGATTTGCATGTTAGCGTCAGTGGCTCAGTGGTCAAGCAGTTGACTTGCAATCTGCAGGTCCTGGGTTTGAATCCCGCCATGTACGTTTGTACATTTATCCGACGTTCTCACGGTGAAGGAAAACATCGTGATGCAACCTGCACATATCCGAGAAGAAATTCAAAGATATGTGTGAAGTCAACCAACCCGCACTTGGACAGCGTAGTTGACTATGGCCTAATCACTCTTAACTTAGGGTAGGCTCCAAGCCCCTCGGTGGGGACGTTTAGCGAGCTGATGATGTTGATTATTAAAACCAAAATCTCTGTATGAAACATATTGTCATCCCTCTCATTATCTTTAAAATAACAGAGATAACAATAATATTTCAACGGGTATTTTGGTCTTAGAATCCAATATTAAAACGCATATAATCTTTAATTTTAATTAACAGAACACATGACCTAATTAATCGAACTCACAGACAATTTTCTTAGATGTGTAGACAATACTCGTAATTAAATAACTGTACAATTATTGCATTCCCATAATGAACCTACTTTATATCTCATAAAGTGTGTCCCAGTTCAATTGTTATGGGAAATTCTCCCGTATTCGTGACGAATGTATTGTGACTGCTGTACCCACGAAACAAATATCTTGGTAATAGTTGATTTGTACCGGTAAATATATGATTGAGGTGATTAAATTAAACTATTAACAGTGAGTTTCCAAGTCCAAAATCCCCATTTAATCTATGGATATCATCATCTATGTCATTATCTTGGACATGTTTGAGATATGAAGATGTTTTAAAGAGGGATATTTGTCTCAGAAACTTAAAATAATAGAGGTAATTTTAAATTCTATTTAAGGTTTTGAAATATCTTGGTAGCTCATATCAGTGTACGAGTTATTGTGCAGAATACACTTTTAGGTGTAATAAAGCGTAGAGATATGCAGAGAAGAGCATTGCACAATGCACAGATGACCTTGAGCTGCTAATAAGATTGAGACGGCCCATTTTTCTACAAATTAAAATCGTTAAAACTTTAGTGAAACATTATTATTAGCTAGTTAAAGATGCGCTTTAAGCATAATGAGTACGAGGCCCTCGCCGAAAAGATCAAACATCGGGGTTCATTTTCTGTAATTCCTCAAAGTAACGTAATTTTATGCGTTCCATTTTGTACTTTGAAGTTGATCTAATTACGTCCTTTTAACGCAAGTCAACTTTGAATTTTTAGTTATGTTAATAGTCAATGGCACTTCTATGTCAAGGCGAAGATAAATTATATATTTTAATTGCTTTTCTGACAGACGATTAGTCTAGTTATGTTACAGTTTGGTAATAACTGTGAGCAGATTGAGTGACGGTGCTTTCTTTTGAATGGTCATGGATATGAAAGTTCTCAAAACACTCTACACATTTCAAAATAAATATTAAAACAAAACTTTTGCGTAAGAGACCACTGTTTAATGACTAACCACCGAACACATTACTCGTTTTTTTTATTATTTCAAAATACTTTAATTTTATTGATTTAAGCTACACTTATCTTATTCGACAATAGAAATATATAATAAAATTTACTATCTTACTAATATTATAAATGCAAGTGTTTAGATGAATGGATGGATAGCTGTTTGATAGAAGGTATCTCGAGAACGGTTCATCGGATCTCGATAAAATTTGGCATGGATGTAGAATACAGTCTGGAAGAATACACAGGCTACTGATTGAGTTTTTTTTTTTAATAGTGTGCGGACGGAGTCGCAGGCAACAGCTAGTTTGTTTATACAATAAACATGTTTCGTTAGCTCATTACATAGTTAATTTTGTGTATAAGAAATAAGTAAATACAAGTGAATAATGATGCACTTTCAGTTAGAAATTTCAGGTCGTAAGGTCGCCTTCTTACCATGTTTAGAGACATACCACGGAACATTTGCTAAGAGCTCACGATTTTACTATCGACACGATGGATACTGTCTTAGTTTAAAGTTATATTTACATGCTAGCTGTTCTCCGCGACTCCGTCCGTGCGGAATTAACAAGAGCTTTATTAGTAGATATGTTCTACATCTATGACAAATTTCAGCGACATCCATGCAATCCAAACAGCATATATTAGTAATATTTGGTCTAGAAATACTACTTCTAAATATAATTTCAATAATATTCTAAATTACAGTAATTGTAAACTTGTTTGTTTCCGCATGTAATTTTGACAAATTTAATTACAAACGGATATATTAAGAAAAATAATTTCCGTGACATTTTAAACTAACGCTTACAAACCCGTGACACTTTAAATTATGGTAAGTTTAAGGTTGCATTTCTCTCGAAATTCTACTCGTTAATTTTGTTTTTTATTAAAACTGTACAGTAAAAATAAATCAAGTTCTGTCGGCACAATCAGACGCTTAAATGTATACGTAGCGAAATTAAAATCCAGTCAGACACGTGCGCGACGTGAAAATTGAACGTGCAAAAACAAAAGTCACGCTCCGTGTCACGGCGAATGTCACGGGGAGTGTCACGCTGCGTGCGACGCGGATTTTGTCTGGATTGGCCGCAACCTGCATTAATTGGATGGAGTTGAAAAGTCGAAAGTAAAGGCGCGACCACACTCGAATCTTTAATCACCAAACATTTTGGGCGTTCCCTCTGAACGGGTTGAGCCAAGTGGGCCGTGGGAGCAATGGGAGAAAGTATTGCGTTGCCGGAACTCTTGCCAGCCACTTTGATGTTTTTGTCAATACATTTAATATATAAAGTATTTGGCCAACACCATGTGTGCCATAGTTTTTGCAAATTGTGGTTGGTATTACTTAGAAATGTAACTTTATGTTCAAATATGGAATGAGATGGGTCATAGCGATGACCAATGTCCAAAATATTCGTTGACAGTATATCAAAAATTAAATTAAAAAAAACTATGCAGTAAGTTCGGAAAGATGTAGCGTCCTTGAAGATGTTACAACTAAGTTAATTTTGATTATTACAGAAGCCCGTAGAGAGTATTCGTTTACTTTCTCTTGCTTGTCCGCTCTTGACCCCGATTAGTCCCTTAATAAGCTTAATTTGACATCAAACAAAAATGTTCACAAGCCTTGTACTTACAAAATTTGTTAATATTTTTTACATTTATAAAAATCAATTGCTTTTCATTAGTCTTTCCAAAACTCAAGAACGGCTAAATGGATTTATCTTATCTTTGTCTTGAAATGTTCGTGGAGGTGTAGAAAAGGTTTTAAAGGTGAGAAAATTTCAAAAAATTGCCGAGAAAACACCAAAAACAGCCCTATTTTTTTCCCATATGAAGGTTTGTAAATAAAATGTAGAGTCAATTTGAAATTTTTTTTTAATCCGCGTGGACGGAGTCGAAGGGCGACAGCTAGTATTTGATGCATTTATGCATTTTAGAAATGCGTTAACTCTGCAAGAACTTATAGAAAGTTATAAATATTATAATTATATTCACCATTATCTTAATATGTTATTTCTATTCATAATTTTTGCTAAGCGTGGATTGTCGTGAAATACTCTTTATAAATTCAAATTAGTCATTTATATTACAAATTGTTCTGCGAATTTCTCGCATATTCGTTTCTATAGATTATAGTTTTTAAATTAACTTTCGAAAGCTTTCTTTTATGAATATCTAAGACGTTGGTTAATAATTCGATAACATAAATTATTAATTTAATCGACAAAATAAACACCATTATAAATAATAATACATATAAAAATTCATAAATGTATAACAGTATAATACTCTTAAGCTTTATAATATATTTATTATATAGACAGTAAAAGAAATCATTATCTGATTAAATCCTTCAATATGTTAAGTTTATTTCGAGGAATAAACTATCACCTTTCGAAATTAAATTAAAAGCGAAAGTTTTGATTCTAAAGCCCGTCATACACATAATGAAAATTATAGCAAGGCATATGATGATATATTTTCTACACGAATATTGAAGTGACCGCACACGCAGCTATGACATATATTACTATGATGCCATCGAATTATAGCGTAATTTATATTATCGCATATCTTAGTAACATTATAAATGCGAATGTTTAGATGGATGGATGGATGGATGATTGTTTGCTTGAAGGTATCTTCAGAACGGCTTCATGGATCTCGCTGAAATTTGGCATAGATGTAAAACATAGTCTGAAAAAACACATAAGCTACTAATAAGTCTTTTTTTAATTCCGCACGGACGGATTCGCGGGCGACGGCTAGTTAGTATATATAAACGCTAAGTCGACCATCATTGAAATTAATGCAATATATATTATAGCATGGCATATTCATATATATTATAGGCACGTGTGAGACTAGCTTAACTTTGTAAATATATATAAACTTATCATCATTAATCTTAAGCGTGCTTACACATTACTTGCGATAATCTGTACTTATGCAAATGAGTGTTCAATAGTCTAGACTACGGACAGACAATGTCAATGACTAGCCGGTTGTCGGTTACAATTTGCCGGTTGCCGGTTGGCAGTTGCTAGTTGCCGGTTGGTGGTTGTCGGGACATACAATCTGCACGCTATACCGAGTGCGATGCCCCTACACCCGACACGCCGAAAGTAAAAGTACTCACTACAATGAATACGACGCAAGCACTCCACTATGCTAATTTAATTATACATTAATAATATTTTTTATTTATTATTAAAGATAATTTTTTTTTTTATTTTAAATTAATTTAATGCCGTTAAAGAAATTAATAGTTGCATATATCTACAATATCGGAACAACATTGTTCTGATTATGATTTTCAAGTGATCACTGATTAACATCTTATTCAAAAACCAACAATGAAATATAATTTTGCAACCTTCATTAGACGATGTTTCTTTTTGGTCCACTTTTCTATAAAAAAGAT